GTCCTGGGTTCAATTCTGGTCAAGGGCATATGCCTTGGTTGCAGGCACATCCCCAGTACAGGGTGTGCAGGAGGCAGCTGATCATTGTTTCTCTCTCTAATTGATGTTTCTAACTCTATCCCTCTCCCTTCCTCTTTGTAAAAAAAAGTCAATAAAATATTTATTTAAAAAAAAAAATAATTTACTCTGAAGGAAATATAATGCACATTTTGATTGTGATTATGTAAGGGTTTGCTGGTGACTTTTGTGCCATCCACACTGGGACACCAGCAGTACTCACCCCTGTGGGTTGACCTCAGGGACCTGCAGGGGCTGCTGGGAGTTTCTGCTGAGCCAGCACACGCTGATCTGAAGCCCAGAGGGGCCCTGTTGGGGGCAGTTAGTGGGAGAGACACTCTAACTCAATGGTGGTGCCCAAGACTGTGGCTGTGACCCTGAAGCTCATTCACCTTCTGTTCACTAATCCCATAAGCACTTTTTATGTGACCACTTCCTGCCAGGCACCGTCCTACACACAGGCCCTGGTGATTAGGGGGACCGTTCTGGCCACATTTTCATGGAGCTGACCTTGTGGTGGGGTCCCAGGGGCAGTAATGAACAGAGCGCAGAGGCGAGACGAGGTGTGCGCGGGGCAGGTATCCAATGCCTGGGCTCCTGGCGGCGCTCGGTGTGGGGCTGGCTGGCCGCCTCCACGAGACGTCTTGCTCTGATGTCCCCTTTGTTCTCCCCATTAGTGAACCTCAGAAGCCCGGGCATTGAGATCCAGGCGTGTGGACAGACTCTTTCTGAATCTGCCGTGTTTTGAAGTAACTCCAGCCGGCAGCTAAGGGAGCCTCCAGCTCTCACTGAGCTGTTCAGAACGCCTCTCTCCGCAGGTTCTCAGACATCCATTCATGCCTGCCTCCGTCCACCAGGGTCCCTGAGTGTGCCCGCAGCGGGGCCGTGGCAGGGCCAGAGGCTCTGAGGTGGAAGGCGAGGGGCCTGATCTGACAGCGTTGCCTGCTCAGCTGCCCAGGCTTCAATTTCTGCCAGAACCAAGCATCACATTTTACCTTTGTCCTCTTTCCTCTGGAAACCCCTCCCCAGTCCACCCTGGAAAGCATCAGGGTCTGCAAGACAAGAACCCGAGTTTCCAGCTCCCCTCCCACTGGGCCTTTCTCCTGCCCATCCGCCCGTTTGCCCCAACGCTCCTGATGCCAACGTGAGCCCCGCCCTCCTGGCTGTGGTCCCCTGCCTTCTCCCCGCAGACTGTGCCCCTTCTGTCTCAGAGGATGCTGGCAGCGCTCTCCCTGGGACCCTAAGTCTGAGCAGAGTTCTCTTCCCTGTGACAGAGGAGTGCAGGCACCGTCATCTCTGTCTGTCTGTCTGTCTCCATTTCTCTCTCCGCCTACCTCCTTCTCTCTAGTCTGGGTTTTGTTTGAGGTTCTGGTCTGGCTTCTGGCCTGGCTGTTGGAAGGATGGGACGCCTGTGCCCTGAGGGGCGGAGGAATACCCACGGCCCAGCCTGTCAGGTGATCGTTCCATGATGCCAAGACACCGAGCTGAGTGGGCCTCATCGGCGGGAAAGTAGGGCGGCCGGGGTGCTGGAACAGTCCATCTGCATGTCACTGTACTGCAGGGGACCGTGCAAGATGGGATGTGGAGGGCAGCTTCGTTGCATAGGAACAGGGCCGTGCACATGCTCACAGGTGTCCTGGTCTCTCGGCCTGTGCCGGGAGCCCCCTCTGAGTTGGCGCCTCCTCCATCGCAGCCTCTGTGGGCCCAGGAGACTGAGGCCTCCTTGGCTTCTGTTTCCAGCATCACTTTTAAGTCTTAAATCCCAAATACGTGTTTGTCATATTCATTTATTTATTTGTTTATTTATTTATTTATTATTTATTTATTTATTTATTTTTATTAATATCTTTATTGATTAAGGTATCACATATTTGTCCTCAAACCACCCCCCCATTTCAATCCCTCACCACTCCCCACTCATGCCCCCACCTCCCTATTGTCCTTGACCACTGGTTAGGCTCATATGTGTGCACACAAGTCCTTTGGTGGATCTCTCCCTTTTATCCCCACCCTCCCTTTGAGGTCCAACAGTCTGACCCATGGCTCCGTATCTCTGGGTCTGTTCTTGTCCATCTGTCTATGTTGTTCACCATTTCCCCAGATGAGTGAGATCATGTCCTACTGGAAATATAAGAATCAAAAATGAGACAAGCAATAATCGTTGTGCTGAAAGGCATATGAATCAGTCTGTAGTGAGTTCCTTTCTGGGCCACCAGTTCTTTTGAGACCCAATTTCAATGCCAAACAGTTCCTTATGTGTACATGTCAGCCATGATATTGCAGTTCTGGATGGTGGACAAATGGTAGTAATGCAGGTCCAACCCTCTCTGGTTTGGTCCTGGGCAACCTGCAGTGACACACAGAAAACAGGCTTCTAATGTTAGAGAAGGGAGCCCCAAGTTGGGTCTCATATCTTCTCCACCACCGACCCCCCATGGGTCCCACATGTAGGACCCTTCAGCATGTCACACATATGCACTCCTGTCTTTCCTGGGACCTGGTGCCCCTCTCCGAGGCCTGGGTCATCTGCCTCTGAGGCCAAGGGGCTCATTTAACTCAACAGTGTCCCTGTTTAGCATCAGGGCTCAGGGCCAGACCCACAGTTCCAGTCTGGTGGCTGTACGGGAGGAGACCACAGTCTGTCCCCCACTCCACCCGCCTTTTCCCTCAAAGGGACCGGATGCACCCCCAGCTGCCACACCTGTGTCTGTTCCTGGCTTCCTGTCCATGGGCATCCCAGCCTGTGACCTTCCTGCAGCGATTGTTATTATCTGTGCCCCAGTGTGAACCCCAACCCCAAGGGCCAGCGCCAGGTGACGTCAGAGGGAGAGCAGAGCCTCTCAGAGCCCCAGAGCAAGGCTGTGTGGGGGCTGTCCTGACCCATGTGCAGGCTGCACTTGGCCTCCAAGTGGCCATGGCATCTCAGCAATGCACCTGCGTCCTCAGGCAGCTCCTGGCTTACGGGGCACCAGCTGGGGAACAGCCTTGAACGTTGAGAAGAAACCGCTTATAAGAGGGTTTGCCCAGAGGTGACCCTGCTCCGGATCTGTACCAACAGGAGGCTGGTAATGAGCAGACAGCTGGAGGGTCTGGCAGCTAATGCCCCCTCAATGATATCAGGCAGATCCCCTGTGGCCCAGACCCAGAGCCCCTGGCCCAACAGAGCTCCATCCTGATTCAGAATCTGCTGCAGTTCGAGCTTGACCTTGTAGAGGAGGGGTCTCTGATATCCTCCAGGCCTTCCGTCCGTCTGTTCACTGAGGGGCAGATGCAGTCCTTTGGGGTCCCTTTCCTCTCCCACCCATGGGCCTCCTTTAACTCCCATCGGCAGGTGTTTGCTGACTGGGAGTCTTGGGCCTCCCAGTGGCAGGCATCTGGCTCATTTGCAGCTCTGAGCCAGTCTTCCAGATGCCTTCCACTTGTCCCTCTGCCCCTTCCCCGCAGGGACAACTGTCTCAGCCCTCCCCAGGCACGGCCACTCTCTGTAATGAGCCGCGTCGCAGGGCTACAAGCTTCCTGCTTTCGTTTCCGCTTCTCTCTGCCTAACTAAACAAGGCCCTGGGGACTCCCATCTAAGTCAAGGTGGCATCTGGTGACAGTTTGGGTGTTCAGGTGTCTTATCTGTGGGAAATGGGACTCTCCAGACTGTGGCTGAGGCTCAAATAAACATACAGGTTTAGGTCCAGGGAGCATCCCGCCTTGGGCTGGGGGGGAGTAGGATCTGGTGGGATGCCCCACCCCCGTTTCTCACTGGGCCCCTTAAACTTCATGTGGGAGCTAAAATATTGCATTTGCATGGCCCCGTTCTGCAAGCATTTCTCAGGAACTGTGAAGTGTTTCTGAATTAGGAGTCTTTGAAGACGAATCCAGTCTCTTCTGTTTTATTATTCATCACACACATGAACAGTTCACTCAAAAAGAACTCACGTGCCTCTGTTTGGGATGTGTAGACTTTTTTTTTTTCTCTTCTAACAAAGCTCTTGGACGGAGACTTGGCAGAAATTCCAAAGCAATTTGATGTGGCTACAAATAATATGCTTTTAATTGTCAATTAATATAGTAGCAAAATAATTTATGAATAAATCCTACATGAATAATTTATATTTGTATAACATAAATAAGAATCACAAATGAAATAATCTATACTAATACAAGGGTAATATGCAAATTGGTCGGGATGCACTCATGCAACAATCGAACAGCAGGCTGCATGGGGCGACCAGGTTGGCAGGGGGGGCAGTGAGGGGTGATCAGGCAGACAGGCAGAGGCCGTTAGGGATGATCAGGTAGGCAGGCCGGTGAGCAGTTAGCAGCCAACGATCCTAGATTATGAGAGAGTACAGGCTGGGCTGAGGGGACACCCCTCTCCCCCATGCACGAATTTTGTGCACTGGGCCTCTAGTAAATTAATAATTTGTTTAACCATTGTTGGGGCAGAAGCAGTGTGACCAGTGGGCCGGCCCTGGGCAGAAGCAGTGGGGGAGCATGGACGAGTCCCTGGTACACCCTGGACACTCACTTCCTCATTCTGAAAGGAGAAGGGTGGACACCTCAAGTCCTAGATCAGCAGTTGCCAACCTTTCAGACCTCACGGACCACCAGTGGTCTGCGGACCAACCTTGGTGACTGCTGCCCTAGATAGTATGTGTGGGAGTGCTTTGTACAGTCTAAAGCAGCGGTCCCCAACCGGTGGCCCGCGGTCCACTGGTGGTCCATGAGGTCCAAAAGGTTGGTGACCGCTGGCCTAAAGCATCACACACTTACTGGTAGCTGTCATTAACATGACCCATGAAATGCAATTGAGGAAGTAGACAGAGGCGTGAGAAATCTTGCTTTTGGCCTTGGAACCAAGGTCAAATGTTCTGTGTGTTTACCTGTATGGCACCTGGGCTAAAACCAACGAGTCCTGTGATAGAGAGTGAGTGTGCTCTGCTTTTCTGCAGGATACAAGACCCTGCTGAAAGGGATTTCCGGGAAATTCAGCAGTGGGCAGCTGGTGGCCATCATGGGTCCTTCCGGGGCCGGGAAGTCCACGCTCATGAACATTCTGGCCGGATACAGGTGAGCACACCCTGCCCAGGAGAATGAGGTCCCCGCCGTGTGTGGCCTGTAGCGGCATATGAGCAGGGAAGCCACCTCAGCCCATCCCACCCCTTCTGAAGGTTCTATACAGGCTCCAGCGAAGCCTGTGCTGGTGCCCCAAAAGGCCTCAGGCAGTGGAGATGGGCAAGGTGAGGGATGGAGGGAGTGTGGCTGGCGGGACTGTGTCCCTTCCATTTCCAAAGTACACATGGGTGCCCACCCTGCCCACCATGAGTACCTGGCCCGGTGGAGGACCACACGCTTGGCTGAGTGGTCCCAGACGCAGGCCCCCTCCTCTTTCAGCCACGTGAGCCCTGGAGCTGTGCCCCAGGCCCTGGGGAACTGGTTCTGACATAGTGGCCACACCACAGACTGCAGAGTCCTGGCCTTTGGAGCAGCCACTGTAACCATGGCTACACACAGTGCTGTTCAGAAGCCAACCCTAGAAATCCTCCCGAGAAGCCATGGATGTCTCTCTGAGCTGTAGGAGCATCTATGTGCATCGCTGCTTGCTGATGGGCATTTGCTACAAAGGTGCCATCCCAGAGAGACTTCCCTCTGCCGCTCCCTTCGGTGCTGGGCAATTTCTCTGCAGTTCCTTCCTGCCAGTACTAGGCTGTCCCAGGTCTCTGTCCTTCCTGCCCCCACATCTCTGCAGCAAACGTTCCAGCCTGGAAGGTGCTGGCAGGGGCCGCCTCTCTCTCAGGCCCTGCCCCGCCCTGAAATGGGAACAGGAGCAGGGGCCAGGCTGACCAGTTCTCTCCCGGCCTTGCAGGGAGACGGGCATGAAAGGGACCATCCTCACCAACGGCAAGCCCCGGGACCTGCGCAGCTTCCGGAAGGTGTCCTGTTACATCATGCAGGACCACATGCTGATGCCGCACCTCACCGTGCAGGAGGCCATGATGGTGAGCTGCCCCCTGTCCTCCGTGAGCGGAGCTCTGACACAAGCTGTTTGGACAGCTTTGTGGAAAGCAAACCTCTAGACCCTGGGTCCTCATAGACCCTGGATGGCCAAATCAAGGTGGAATTCCTGAGAAAGGTATTGACCCTACCGATGTGGTGGCCCTTTCCTAGTGACCCCAGTCCTAACCCCGTTAGGGCCAAGTTCCAGTCAGCCTGGTGCTGGAGGAGGTCTCCTCCTCCTCTGATTTGCCGGGTGCTGCCCACCTGCTGGGCCCTGGGCCCTGCACTTACAGAGCCCACAGTCCTCAGACATGAAGTCCTGCAGAAGCACAGAGGGCAGCAGCCTCAGAGTGAGCTGTTGGCCAGGGCATCCTGTACGCTGGGGTCCAGAATGAGCTGGCCATCATGCTCTTTGAACAGACCAGGACCTCACCAAGTGCCAGGATTTTAAAAGGCCCCACCCACACCATCAGGGACCACACAGTGGGTTAGCATCTTCATGGCTGCTTCTGACCCTCACAACCATGAGACTAACCAAGAAATGACACTTGGTGTCACCGGGCAAGCAGCTGGCTTGACCGAGCTGACCTAGACCTGGCCCTGTCTGACTCCATGACTGAGGCCTCTTCTCCACTCTGCTGTGTCTCAGTCTGTCATCGATCCTCATGGCGACCTCACCAGTTCCCTGGTGGGCAGGGTCTAACCTCATCATTGTGCCCGTGAGGAAACTGAGGCTCATTTCCTAAAGCCACAGAAGTCGCCAGGTCAGAACCAAAGCTGACCCTGGGCGTGGTGATGACTAGTCAGGGATTTCCCCGGTAGGGTCAGGGGGTCAGGGGACCAGGGGGCCATGGGTGTGCTGGCCACCAGCATCTCAAACAAGACAACAACAACACCAGAGTCCTGATCTGTAGCGCTTGCCAATCTCTGTGGTGTAAATATTCCCAAATATTCCACAATGAGCAATGGATGGTTTAAGCTATCAACGGTTTCACAGGTGGCTTGTGAAATTCCTAAATATGCACCACAAGTCTTCAAGCCCCCGAGGCCTTAGGATTCCTTATCTCACAGTTGCCCACATCTAATTCCCCTCACAGACACCCTGCTGCAAATTCAACAGGGAGAAAGGAAACCACCGCAGACACGCACGGCTGTCCTAGACCCCGCCTCTGCTGAGCCAAGGGAGTGGGAAGCCACGACCTTCTCTGGGGTTTTCCTGCAGCCACTAGGGCTCTGGCCCGTGGTGTGGCCTGTGAGGTTTGCCCTGCTGAGGGCCATCTGTTCTGACTCCACCCTGTATCTATCTCTCGTCCCCTGCAGGTGTCCGCGCATCTGAAGCTCAAGGAGAAAGACGAGGGCAGAAAGGAGATGGTAAGTGTGTGCCTTGGGGCCACAGGTGGTCCAGAAAGGGCATGAACTTGCATTTTGCAAACACACATGTGCGGGGATGTTTGGGCGCGGGCGATGCTGGTTTGTGACTTACCTTCTGTGTGTAGGCGACGGTGTCACCTCAGGGTGCTGCGTTCTCGCTTGGCAGCCAGGACTGGCCGCTCTGCTGCCAGAGCCACAGCCTTGACTCTCATGTCCTGGCGCTGCCTTAGCAACAGCAAGGACGCAGCGGGACATCAGCCTGAGCGCTCAGGTGGCCTGAGGGCCCGGCCTCGGTCAGCCCAGGCACGGCATTTCTCTTAGTGAACGTGCGGCACATACGATTGTTGTTATAAAATATTAACAATGAAGGTGGTTAGTCACTCGTTTAAAAATAACCAGCCTCCACCCACACACCCTTGCAAGAAGACATTTGATTCTCACATGTTAATAACCAGCCTTTTAAAAAAAAAATGAATTGACCAAGTTTCCAGGGTGAGTAGGCCATCTCATCCCTTTCCTGGCTCTCTTCACTGCCCAGGGAACAGGAGAGTGCTGGGTAAGCAGACCTGATGGGGACCACTGGGAAGCCCCACTGTGGGGGATGGGGGAGAGGAACCAATCCCAGGGAAACAGCTCCCCTCCTCTCCATCCTCCCTGAGCGCCGGTGGGATGCTCAGTATAGCATTTGGGGAAGTTCCACCTATTATATACCGTGTTGTCTGCTAAGGCCCTATAGGACCACAGCCCAGCAGGGGAGGCGTAGGGTCCACGGGATTAGCCCCGGGGCTGCAATGGGCCTCTCCCTGTGTGTAGAGGGACCAGGGTGGCGAAGAGAATAGTTTTCAGGCTCAGGAACCACTAGCAGCCATCCTGTTTACGCCTGTTCCCTCTCCTGTCCCACACGGTAGCTGCCGTGACATAAATGTAAACCACGCTGGTGTGGAAGGAAGTGCTGGCATCCTTAGGCTTCCCCCTCGCCCTTCCTGTCCTCCTCTCCTTGTCCCCCTCCCCCCCCCTCGCACCCTGCACCCTCCAGGCTCTTAGGGTGCAGCCCTTGCATCGGGCAGGGGAGGGCTAGCTGCACAGAGCAGGGGAAGAGCCCCGTTTCTGTGACCAGTGAAACCTGTGCTGCCCGGATGTGTCGCTGGCACACTTCCATTCTAAGGCTGAAAGGAGTGAGTGGGTTTCACGGGACCAGAAGTAGAGATGTAGGGAATGTGGGAACCACGCGTGTTTCTGTCCCTGGTCGATCAAAGGTCGTTGGCATCCATTGGACACCAACAGGAACCTTCCATTTGGGGTGCAGTGAGGAAGGAAACTTGACTCAGCGCACACAACTCAATGTGGCACAGCCCGGTGGAGGGGGCCCCTTCAGCCCCGGCTTCCCAGGACCCATGGGGTAACCTTCCACCGCCAGCCCCACTCTGGGCTTCCTCCGAACGGTGGGGAGGGAAGGCCCGGCCCCCTGCCTCTGGGCAGCGGAGGCTGAGTTAGCGGCTGCCTTTGGTGTGTCTGAGCTGCCGACAGGTGCAGCCTGTGAGTAAGTAGGCCATGGAGCTCTTCCCTCCAGCCTGGCCTGCAGGGACCCGCCTTCCCATAGGGAGGAGGCACTGGGGAGGGGAGGGAGCACCCTGCGTGCTCCTCAGCTGACTTTCTATATCGAGGAGCACAGCCTGCCTCCCTTCGGCGTCCCGCACCAGCTCTGCCTGTTATGTCATGACCCTCAGAGGCAGCTCCTAGCCTCATCCCGGCGGCCGGCACCCTCTAAGCCAGCCTCACACGGCCCCGAAGGCAGGTGGGACCTGGCCTTCTGTCTCTGTTGCTGACGGATGCCCAGAGCGCAGGGACAGTGGGGTCTGCGGGAAAGGCCACCGGAACCCTCTCTGTCTGCTCGGGCAGAAAGGACAGGCGCCTATGGCTTTCTTGGGGGGGAATGGAGGGATCTCAGTAGAGAATGTGGGGAAGTTCCGCCTATTATACACCATGTTGTCTTCTGAGGCCCTTGTGAAACCACAGCCCAGCTGGGGAGGAGTAGGGGGGCCTGTCTGAGTGCATGTCCTCCATGTCCCTGGCCCAACATGGGCCAGAGCAGATCCTCATGCTTGGGCCATGCACACGTTTACATTCGGCTGCATTTACATGCATGGGGGAGGGGGGGGAGCACACCCTGGACCGTGTGGCTGCATCATCCCCAGGGAGTGAGGGCCTCACCCTTCTCTTCAGATCCCGCTGCTGCCGGATTAGCCAAGGCAGAGAGCCGCCCCTGCAGGGCCCACGGGTGTGCTCAGGCCCAGCACACGTTTCTCGCCGGGAGGCCAGGCCAGGCCAGGCCGTCCATCACCCTCCTGGTCCCAGCCACGCACAGGGCCACGCCTGCAGCCATCCTCTGGGGCAGCGGATGGTTACTCTAAGGATGAGAAGCCATCTCACTTCCTCTGGCTCCCGGCGTGGAACACAATAGGCGGGACGTCCTGGCGGAGAGGAAGGTGCCATCCGGCCCGTTTCCCAGAAAGCAGCCTCGGCCTCAGAGCCTCCGGGAGGCGTCTTCCTCCGGAGCCAGTCCCAGGGCAGAGGTTGTTCTCTGAGTGTTTCTGAAGTAGAATTAACCTGCGGAGGGTCGCTCTTGGGAGCCCCCTGAGAAATCTGAATGTGCGGGAGCCCCCTGAGAAATCTGAATGGGCGGGAGCCCACTGGATGGGTGGGAGGAGGGAAGGCACCAGCATTTGCCTCTCCACTTTCAGCCTCTCCCTCACTTCCAGCCTCCCTCCCACTCCCAGCCTCCCCCCCACTTTCAGCCTCCCCCCTACTCCCGGCCTCCCCCCCACTTTCAGCCTCCCCCAGCCTCCCTCCCCCCCCCCCCCCCCGTTCCAGCCTCCCCTCCACCTCCAGCATCCGCTCCACAGGGGCTGAGGGACTCTCGGCCACAGTAGTGAGCCTTCAAGGAAACAGATGGACGGGCACAGGGCATGTGCCATGTCTGTGATGCCCCAAAGGGAGCCTAGAATGACAGTGTGACTCCTCTGCTGTGACGTTGGCTGTGGTCCCGCCTGCCCAGGGTGGACGTGTGCCTGGAAGAGCCGCCGCACCGGCCCCACGCCGATAGCCTTTTCTAGAGGGTGACCTCGCTGACCTTAGTTCTGGGTTGGCGTCCCCCAAAGGCCCGGCACTCTAGAGGAGGCAGAGAGAGAGGATGAGCAGGATTCGAACCCAGGCCTGTCTGACCACCTGCTTCCCAGCCCATGGAGCTGCGGTGTCCTGCCGCTCCCTGTCACCTAAGCCTAACTCTGACTGTGCGTAAGTGACTGTGCCAGTTCCTTCTCCTGTGCATGACCTCATCCCCAGAGAAGCTGCTGGGCTGGGTCCGCCCAGATGGACCCAGGAACCCCCTGGGCGGGGACAATGGCTGCACCTTCAGGTGGGACCCTGGGAGGTGAGCCTGCTGAGGAGACCGGGAGGCCGACAGCTGACCTCTGAGAAGACGCTGGGCCGAAATTGGCCCTGCTGTCTGCCCTGTGGTCTGCTCACCCTCTGTTCCCTGGTTGAGCCAATGGTGAATCAGTAATCCCATCAGACAGGAGGGCTCAGCCACAGTGCACTGTTTGTGTCTCCCTGGGCCCGCGTCTCAGGGGGACAGAGGGACCGCTGGGGAGGGACCATTTTATCGTCTTAGTGCCCCTTCAGAGATATTGTTTTCCTATTGACAAGGGCCAAGGGGGCTCCATCCCATCTCTCTGGGTGGTGTGTCTACAACAGCTGCCGTCAACTAAATGTTCACGCCTGCCAAGCACTTTCACTCATTATCTCATTTCCCCGCCTTGGTGGCCACCCACGTGTCCACCAGGCCACCTTTCCACAGATGCTCACTGAGCCCCTCCCTGACCAGGCCCTGAGCCAGGCTGACAGGTGAAGGTCAGGACAGGGGGCAGGATAGGGACCCTGCCCAGGCAGGTCTGGCTTCTCCACTGCTTCAGCCTCCCAGGCCGAAATCAGGACCTTGGATTTGGACAAGGGCCGCCTGGGATGGGTGCAGCGTGGCTCGGTGTGTGCTGGGAGTGGGTGGGGGAGGCAGCAGGCGTCCATGTGGTGCTGGAGGTGGCGACGTGTGGTGGAAGGCTGCTGATGGCTGCTCTGGCTCTGCTCCTCCCTCCAGGTCAAGGAGATCCTGACAGCTCTGGGCTTGCTGTCTTGTGCCAACACGCGGACCGCAAGTCTCTCAGGCGGGCAGCGCAAGCGCCTGGCCATTGGGCTGGAGCTGGTGAACAACCCTCCCGTCATGTTCTTTGATGAGCCAACCAGGTACTCAGGAGCAGTGGAGGGGAGAGCCCCTGACCTCTGGGCCCGCAGATTTTATGGGGGGCCCTACTGTAGCTTCAGAAGTGAGAGGTGTGGGTCCTGCCTGCCCCATCTTGTTCTCCTCCTATTTTGGGGTCCCAGGGCAGAGGCCTTACTTGCCCCCCTCTCCCTGTCTGAGACTAAGAGACACCCATGGGCTTGGGCTTGCACACGGACCTACCCTGTGCACGTTGAATGTGGGCCTGGTTTGGGGCGGCGGGGGCTTGTTCCTGCAAACGTCTCATGGTGCCCCTTGCCTTGCAGCGGCCTGGACAGCTCGTCCTGCTTCCAGGTGGTCTCCCTGATGAAAGGGCTGGCACAAGGAGGGAGGTCCATCATCTGCACCATCCACCAGCCCAGCGCCAAGCTCTTCGAGCTGTTCGACCAGGTACACAGACCCCGCTGGGATCAGCCCCCGGGAACCTGAATTCTGGTACTCAGCTTCCCCTTAGTTCTCGGGGTTGTCTTCAGTGTTGAGCGGCCTTAGTGTTACGTTCCATGAGATGTAGGAGCCATAAGCCACTAAGGAAGGGGCCAGAAGAGCTGGCCAGTGTCTGCGCAGGGGCTCTTGTGTGGCCATGGGGGCTTGCTGAGTCCCTGTAGCCATTGCTGAGGCTTCAGGTTGCAATGGGGAAATACCTGTTTTACTGAATTAAGTGACAGATTATTTTATTTGTACAGACAGTCATTGGATTATGTCCAGCTCAACAGACTTCATTTTGTGGTTACGTCACCATCTTCCATTTATTTATTTTTTTGAAAGTTCTGTCATTTCGATGTATGTACATATGTACTTTATGGGTTTTTTAAAATTATTTTTTACTACAAGTAAAGGTCAGGAATTGTTATTTTATTTTATTATTATTATTATTATTATTATTTTTTTTTTTTTTTTTTTTTTTACTGTTTCACTTCATTACTACTGTATATGTGCTCCATGTGAGTGACATAGGTGCTTGTGTAGGTGGGTTCCTGACACAACCCAAGGACTGACTGTATAATATATTTTATAAATCTTAGGTTTTGATAATATAAGAGAGAGAAAAAATCCCAAGGGTTGAAATGTATAAGCTCATGAATCTTTCCCAAGCAGGTGGTTAGTTAGTTAGTTAGTTAGTGTGCAAAAATAATGTAAGAAAATAACTCAGAGCCTTATGATAACCTCAGTTTTCCCTGGCTCACCATGGATTTCCCTGTGAACTTCAACAGAGTCTGAAGTGGAGAGAGAGAGAGAGAGAGAGAGAGAGAGAGAGAGAGAGAGAGAGAGAGAAGGAGGGGGGGAAATAGGTTTATTGATAGGTGATAGATAGATAGATAGATAGATAGATAGATAGATAAGATTTGGTTAAATGAATGGATGGAGGGTGAATGGGTAGATGGATGGATGGGTGAGTGATATAGATGGGGGGATAGGTGGATGAATATATGGATAGAGGGATGGAAAGATGAAAGGGTAGATGGATGGGTAGGTTGGTGGAGGGTTGGTTGGTGGATGGATGAGTGGGTGAATGAATGGGCAGGTGGATGGATAGAAGGGTGCAAGGGTGGGTGGGTTGGTGGATGGATGGATGGATGGATGGATGGATGGATGGATATATGTATGTATATGTGCATGGGTGGTAGATGGATGTAGGAGTGGAGGTGAAAAGGTGTTGGATGGTGGATGGATGGTGGATTGATGGATGGACTGGTGGGTGGGTGGATGGGTGGTAGATGGATGTGGGAGTGGAGGTGTGATTGAGTAGGTGGTGGGTAGGTGGGTGGATGGATGTTGAGAGCATGAGGGCAGACAAGGTTGATGTTTACCTATCCTTGCTTTTTTCCAGCTTTATGTTCTTAGTCAAGGACAGTGTGTGTACCGGGGAAAAGTCTTGAATCTTGTCCCATACTTGAGGGAATTAGGTCTGAACTGTCCAACCTACCACAACCCAGCTGATTTCAGTAAGTATAACCTTGACTGGGAAGGAAAAGAAAGAGTTTTTTGTTTGTGTGTTTATTTGTTTGCCACTCCTGGTGGATTTTCACTTTACCAGGGGCCCTTGGTCAGGGCTACGTGAATAGTCCACAGATGGCTTAAGTGCCATCCTATGGTGGAACTTTAAAGGACAGAGAAAAAGAGGTTGTTTTCCCTCCAGAAAAAATGACCAAAAAAAGGGAGCTGTTGTTAGGAGCAATATTTTCTAACATCTCTTGTGTTAGTCCCAGGTTAAAGGAAGTTCTTTCTAACAAGAAATAACCTTGTGGCCCCATCACTCCAATCTCTGACTCTGCCTTCACGTGGCTTTTTTCTCCGTGTGTCTCTGTTGTTGGGTTCAGGGCCCATCCTAACTCCAGATCCATCCTATGGGTCTTTCACCTCAAGACCCATAACCGCTTACATCTGCAAAAACACATTTGTCAAATATGTCATATTCTGCGGTTCCAGGTGGACGTGACTATTTGGGGTATGCTATTCCACCCACTGCAACCCTCCTGGTCATCAGCACTTCTCATTCAATTGCTTTTCTTTCAAACATCTGGCCACACTCCCAGGATTTCGTATTTCCTACAACATCATCTCCCAAGTTATGTTCCATATGACACTGTTTCTGGGAAATACTTCTTTTCTTGAGCAAGAGTGTGGGAAAGGGAATGTGAAGGGAACAGCCAGCTTTGCTTAAAGGCAGTGGGACCGGGTCTGGTTTATAGTCACAAGAGAGAAGCATGGTTGGGGAAAGGTGTGCTGATTAGGGGAGGATGGTGAGGTCCAAGGCCTACAAAGAGGTGAGAAACTAGATGAACAGGAAGAGAAATAGGGTCCATGCAACCTCCAGGAAGTTCTAGAAAGGTCAGGCGTGGCTTCTCTCTCCTCCATGTCACCCGGAGGGAGGACTGGAGTGCACAGAGAATGGCGTTTAGGGAGGGGTGTGTGTGAGTGACCAGCAGAGCACATAGTGCTGAGCCCATGTGGCCTCCTTGATGAAAATGGGCCATCGCATCCTGGTTTATGAAAGGTGAGGCAGATGGTCCCAGACCTCAATGACCCCAGGGTGCCAAGCACTCTTCAGGCCCTGCCCACCCCTTTTTCCATAGTCCCACTGACCCAACCGTCACAGCTCTCATCACTCATGGCCAATCCCACGTGCACAAAGCGAGCTCTCTAAACAGAAATCCTGTACTATCTAACTCATCTTCCAGCTCTACTCTGACGCTTGGATGCCCTGAGGAGGCGTTCAGTAACTCTGGATGGATGCCTAAGTTCATAGAGAATGAGCTAATTATTTTCATTCCCAAGCTCCTGACATGAGACATGACCTTGCTGGGGGTTTAGAGCTAAAAGAACATTGGTAGCTACATGATTTGACCATATGACAGTGATCATGCACTTGTATACAATCAGTTAAAAATATTCCTGCTGGATTCATGGCTCCGTAGTTGCAAAAACGAATGAGGCCCACACTTCACATTGGCGGTCTCAGGCCGTGATCCCAGGTTTGGCTGACGGCACGCCCCTGTGTCTCATGCAGTCATGGAGGTGGCGTCCGGTGAGTACGGCGATCAGAACGGCCGCCTGGTGAGAGCCGTCGATGAGGGCCTGTGCGACGCTGACTGCAGGAAAGAGCCTCCTGCGGGGGATGGCGAGGTGAACCCCTTCCTCCAGCACCAGCCCTCTGAAGAGGTAAAGCCCACCAAAGGATGGAAGGGGCGGAGAAAGGTAACTCCACCCCGGCCCGGGAGAACCCTCGTTGCATTTTGCCCCTTGTGGCATGGTGCTCTTCCTTAGCCTTGAGGAACTGGGTCATGGGGTTGGGGGTCTCACCTTCTCTCCCTTCTTGGTGTGTCCTCAGAATTCCACTTCCACGGAAAGCTGCCACAGCGTCTCCGCCAACTGCCTCACCCAGTTCTTCATCCTCTTCAAGAGGGCCCTATTAACTACCGTGAGGGATTCGGTAAGCATGTCTACAGTCGCCTCTGGTGGCCAAGGAAGTTGCCGGCATTTCCGGGTGTATCTGTCCTGACTGTCTTCCCTCTATTTGCATCAGTCAGCATTCACTCTGCGATGCTGCTGTAACAAACACTCCCTCATATACCAGCGACTCTGACAGTAAATATTTGTGTTACTGGTTGGTTGGCTGAGCATTGTAACTCTGCCCCCTGTTTCTTCTCATCTTGGGACTCAGAATGGAAGGACAACTCCTTTCTAGAATGTGACAGAGGGAAAGTACAAGGGAGAAATCAAATGTAAAACTTCTGGTGGCAACTTGTCACTTGTGCTCACATTGCTCTGGCCAAAGCAAGTCATATGGCCAAGCATGTTGTCAGAGAGTGCACTTCTCCCTCAGGAAAGCACAGCAACGCATAGGGCACTGCGGCTGTGTGGAGGCTTATTGGGAAGGAGGTGTTGAATGGTTGAGAAGCAGACTAACATCTACCTTTAAGGTGGACAACCTGACAGCTCAATGGGCCTCTGAGACCTAGTTTGAAAAATGGAAGGGCTTTTAGCAACCCATGTCACAGCTCTTCAAGGGTGGCCTCTGATATATCCACCCTTGGTTCCTTTCTCCACCATCGCTTTCGCTTGTCCTCTCCTCTGAAGGCAGACAGACCTCGCCTGCAAGTTTTGAGCAAATCTGTTTTAACAGCAATAAAAGGCTGCCTCACTTATGCATGTGTGTGAGTTGGTTTAGGGTTGGAGGTTGGTTTTTCTGGAGGAAAAGGGCAGCATGAAGCATGAGGTCTGCCTTGGACCAGGTCTCCAGAGGCCTTGGACCTGTTGTTCCGTCTCTGCCCCATCCCCTGCTTCCAGGCGAGTGAGTAACAGCCAGGTCTGCCCCCAGGTCTTGATGCACCTCCGGGTCACCTCGCACATTGCCATTGGCCTCCTCATCGGCCTGCTCTACTTGGGGATCGGGAACGAAGCCAAGAAGGTCATGAGCAACTCCGGCTTCCTCTTCTTCTCCATGCTGTTCCTCATGTTCGCGGCCCTCATGCCCACCGTGCTCACGTGTGAGTGCCTGACGGGCCACAGACCCTCCTCTCCTTCCTCATCTGTCATTCCAACCCACAAACTGGGCACCGAGGTCATGGCTTGGTCAAGAAGGGAGTTTTCTGAACATATGTCTTGCTTTTAAAAAATATTTGAGGCCTAGTGCATGAAATTCATGCATGGAGGGGGGATGGTGTCCCTCAGCCTAGCCTGCACCCTCTCCACATGGAGGCAGCCATCTTTAACCACATGGGGGTGGCCATCTTGTGCATTGGAGTGACAGTCAATTTGCATATTACTCTTTTATTAGTTAGGATAATATTCTTTGTAGACAGATGCAGGTATTATTGTATTCTCTGTTAGACAAGAAAATGCAGAGCCTGTTTAAGCCACAGGATGGAAGGCTTTCACAGGGAGGAAGGCTGATGGGAGAGATTTCTAAAGAGGTTTTCCAATCTGGAGCCCCTCAAAGGCACTGTTTACCTCGTTGGTTATTAAGACAGCCCCGGGTCCAGCCAAGTTTGGAAGGGGACGAAGCCATTCTGGATAGATTTCCATGCAAGTCTAGGTTGCTTGCAGAGTCACGTGGGGCTGACAGTGCAGACAGCCTTGCTTCTGCAGGATGTCAGCATGAAGCTCCTCCCTCAATTGCCTGGAATTTCCATGGCCTTGTCCGTGGGAAGGAATCACATTGTCACAGTTAATGAGTGAGAATAAGTTGAGCAATAAGTGTTTTATTAATCGCTAAAATAACACTCATATTTATTATTGCATGGATGTCCTCCCCGCGATGAGTCCTCGGGTTATGAAAATGGATGGCGGTTTTCCTAGGCTAGTGAATCGGTCCTTATCTTCCCACCCAAACCCTGAGCCCCAGGATGTTGAAAGGCCCACGTCTCGGCACAGGCCGGGCTATCGAGCCAGCCTTTGGCACGCTGGGTATGTCTGCTTGACGCCTCCTCCGTTTTCCTGCCGCCTAGTTCCCCTGGAGATGGGCGTGTTTCTCCGGGAACACCTGAATTACTGGTACAGCCTGAAGGCCTACTACCTGGCCAAGACACTGGCCGACGTGCCCTTCCAGGTACGTCTGGGAAGGGGTGTGCTGGCGGAGGGGCAGGAACTCGCCTCGGACCCTGCAGACCCGGGTGGGAGATGGCGAGTTCCACGAGAGGCTGATGGGCCCTATGTTCCCAGATCATGTTCCCGGTGGCCTACTGCAGCATCGTGTACTGGATGACCGCGCAGCCGACCGACGCCGTGCGGTTCGTCCTGTTCGCTGCGCTGGGCACCATGACGTCCCTGGTGGCGCAGTCCCTGGGCCTCCTGATTGGAGCTGCCACGTCCCTGCAGGTACCAGCCAAGGAGATGCCTTCCTGCCGCCCTGGGGGACTCAGCACCGCCCGCTCCTCCTTATCCTGCCCTAACTTCCTAGATCAGCTTCTCCAGGTCAGGGTTTGGGTCAGGATGCAGTGTCCTGGCTGGTCACTATTGGCACCTCGACAGCAGCAGGTACCCAGATGTGGCGCTTAGTGTATGCCAGTGCTGTGCTCAGCGCTTTCCACGTAATAGCTCGTTTAGTCCCCAGCACACCCCTGAATTAGATGCTGTGCTATCCCCATCTTACAGGTGCAAACACTGAGGCCCAGAGAGGCAATGCGATTTGGTGGGGGTCACACAGCTGGCTCTTGATGCCTGGGTTTTGTTGCCTCAGGGGATCCACTGGCCCATCCCTCCAACCTCCTCCATTGCACCCCACATTCCCACCCTATCTGAGTCCCTCCACGTGCCCCTTCCAGACTCCTGGTCCCACCCCCACACAAACACATGTGCATTTGCCGTTTCCGCACCACGTGACTTCAGGGAGCTCAGGCCAGGCCTTTCCTTCACAGCTAAAGGCGGAACTAGGGTAAATCTCGCACCAAGAGCCGGCTGCTCACTCCCCAAACCAGACGCTTCTCCACGCCATCTGGCCCGTGATGACCCATCCTGAAGACCGGTCCTTTCTTAGCGGTCCCGGGGACTGTCCAGGAATATGGCCTCCAGGGGCCACTGCAGAGGCAGTTGAGCGGGACATAAGTTCTCTCTGTGTCCCCCCAGGTGGCAATCTTCGTGGGCCCCATGACGACCATCCCCATCCTCCTCTTCTCAGGATTCTTCGTCAGCCTTGGCACCATCCCAACCTACCTGCAGTGGATGTCCTACATCTCCTACGTCAGGTAGCGCGTGTGTGTGCGTGTGTGTGTGCGTGTGCGTGTGCGTGTGTGTGTGTGTGTGTGTGTGTGTGTGTGATGGTCGTGGTGGGGGGACCCTGTATAACTTGGAGCCTTCACAGTGACAGAGGGAAGAGGACTCTTGATAGCCTGCAGATGCTCACCAAAGCCACATCTTAGCTGTCAGCTAAATGCCGACACCATTCCTTTATCACGGTCGCAGAGGATCAGTGCAGTTAGTTTTGTCCTGGTTTTGTGTGTCCCGCCCTCACCAACACACACAACAAGGGTAAAATAAATCCTAGCTGCTCGTACCCTGAGGAGCCCAGGTGGGCCCGTTGTTTGGCCCTTTGGAGATCTGCCTGTAGGGGGGGGGGCGTTTCCACCTGTTAGGCACTTCATTCCTCTCTGAAATAAACACGTTCCTGAATATAATAAATCCTAATAAGAAATCTGGTGGAATATTTAAAAAAAACAAACAAAAAAAAACAATAACAAAAAAACAACAGTGTGGCTCAGTGGTTGAGCATTGACCTATGAACCAGGAGGTCACACTTTGATTCCCAGTCAGGGCACAGGCCCGGATTGTGGGCTCCATCCCCAGTAGGGGAAGGCAGCTGATCAACGATTCTCTTTCATCATTGATGCTTCTATCCCCCTCTCCTTTCTTCTGTGAGATCAGTAAAAATATATTACATTAAGAGTCCTCTTCCCTCTATCACTGTGGGAGAAAAAAAAAAGGAATCCAGTGGGAAGTGGGTATGACTACAACACCCTAACTTTGGACACAAGTATTCTGGCGCATGGGCGCTGGGTCCAGCTGCATGCTCCGCGCCCAGGGGCCGTCTGGCACGTAGGCCTGAGGGCTGCACTTGTCTCCAGTGCTTTTTGATTTGGTGACACGCAGATCCCACCTCGGAGCAAGCTTTTCTTCCCTAGGATGTCAGGTTAGACCCAGGTGTTTTGTTCTGAAAACAAAGCCCCTGTCCAGAGTTTCAGCAGCTTGTGCGTGCGCCAACGCCGGGAAACCCTACCCCGTGCCTTTCTCCCCAGAGTTAGCATTTTCCTTCCGACAATGTAGGGCTGGCGGGGCACAGTGGAGGGGGCAGAGCGTGTTTTGTTAGGTGCTGCTTGGAAGGCTACCAGACATTCTATTATATCAAACTTTTATTTTTTTAAAATATATTTTTATTGACAGAGAGGAAGGGAGAGGGATAGAGTCAGAAACCTTAATGAGAGAGAAACATCGTTTAGCTGCCTCCTGCACACACACACACACACACACACACACACACACACACACACACCCTACTGGGGATGTGCTCGCAACCAAGGCACATGCCCTTGACCGGAATCAAACCTGGGACTCTTCAGTTTGCAGGCTGACACTCTATCCATGGAGCCACACCAGTTAGGGCTATATCAAACTTTTTAAAAGTATGTACCACCAGAAGTAATCCGAGTGGTTTTCAATTCATTTCCCTGATCGAATCCCTACGATTGGTTTCGTTTGGAGGACATGAAACGGGAAAAACGTAGTGAAGCTGCCCGTGCGATCATCTCAGGGATGCTGGGAGATTAGGAAGTATTTTGTGGGGCGAGGGAGGGGAGAGGAGCCGACTGGGACCTCGGGGAAGGCGGAGGGTACTTTGCCCTGGGCACACGGAGGCAGAGACAGGGACGGCGTGAGGGCGTCTGGTCGCCTGGACAGAGCCTTCCTCAAGCCAGCGCTTTCCCCCCACGCAGGTACGGGTTCGAGGGGGTCATGCTGTCCATCTACGGCATGGACCGCGCGGACCTGCACTGCGACGTGGAGGAGACCTGCCATTTTCAGAAGTCGGAGGCCATCCTGCGGGAGCTGGACGTGGAGAACGCCAAGCTCTACATGGACTTCATCGTCCTGGGCATCTTCTTCATCTTGCTGCGCATCATCGCCTACTTCGTCCTGAGGTACAAAATCCGGGCCGAGAGGTAGAGCTCCCGACTGCCGGCAGACAGGAGCGTCGGACGCCGCTGCCAGGGCAGCTGGCAGGATCCTGGCGGCCAGCCTGTGCCCGAGGACCCGGGATGACTGTGACCCGGCCCCTAGCCACCGCGTCTGGCTCGTGGGTGCCACGCGCTGGACAGCTCTGCCCCGGGAGATGGATCTTCTCTCCATTACCCTTCCCAGCTTTACCCAGGAAGAAGATGTAGAAAGGATAATTTTTCACGTGCAGAATGTAAAACGCCCACCCCCGGGGCAGCGTTGTAACCCGCAGCAGAGCTGGCGACGAGGCGTCCCTGGCCACACCTCCCTCAGGGCCAGGTAGCTCTGGCCCCGGGCGGGGGCCGCGAGCAGCCCCCATGGTCTGATCACCGCGCAGGAGGCGTCCTGGGAGCGAGGTGGAGAGGACACCGGTTCTGTTTTATGACCTGTTTTTCATAGTTCTCATATTTCTACAGTGTGTCTCTTTTTCCAACGAGAAGTCGCTTTCCAAGCCAAAGGCCTGTGAATGTCATTCATTTTAAGAAGCGGGGTCTCTTCCGCCCTGTGGGGGAGTGCTGTGCAGGGTGACCCGGCTTCGCTGACAGGCAGAACCCGTGAAAGGTGCAGGGGCGGGCCCCACGTGGAGAGCCTGGGGAACTGTATGCGCGAAGCTGTGCGGACATTTTTTAAAGTTACACAAAGAGTGGGAAGGCGAAGTTGGCCAACTCTTCCCCAGTCTTTTGTTTTCCCCGTGCTTCTTATTTTAAGCAAAATATATTGTTTCTTTCTTCCTAGCTTTCTGAGCACTTTAATTTTTGGTTGCTGTTAATCCTCACCCGAGGATATCTTTCCACTGAGTTTTAGAGAGAGTGAAAGGAAGAGGGAGAGACAGAGAGAGAAAGAAACATCGATGTGAGAGAGACACACTGATGGGTGGCCTCCCACACACATCCCAGCCAGGGCCTGGCATTGAGTCTGCAACTGAGGTGCATGCCCTTGATCAGACGACGGGCCAACGCTCTATCCACTGAGCCAAACCAGCTGGGGCTGAGCACCTTAATTTTGCCTAAAATATTCTAGGAGACCCACCCTGTTGAGTTTTTACAAGCATTTTCCCTTTCCTTATCTATCACATCAACTACCTCCACTGAAGCTGGGCTGAGGGACACCCAGGGGTGAATGCTGAGAGGTCCCGGGTGCAAACGTGAAAGATGAGCTGACTGCCGGAGATGGAAGCTGCTGAGCCCCCATTAGAATCCAAGGCCCTTGCAGGCCCCCGGATTCTGAGTGTGGCCCGGTGATTCTGGTGGCAGCTCGGCCGTACCTCCCTGTCGGTGTTTGGTTTGTGCAGCCGTCTTCCCAGTGACGTCACCACACGCGGCGATCTCTCTAGGGCAGGAGCCGTGGTATCTGCAGGGCGACAGCCTTTGGCTCCCTGCCAGAGCTCCTGGCTGCCTGTCCGCCCCAGCAGTATAGTATCCACTGGGTAGGAGGTGCCTCTGGTCAAAGAGGGTCTGAAGGAAAATGGCATTGCTTTCCCTTCTAGACCATCACTGTCCCAGAATCAGGGTCCCCTGACGAGAGATTGTATGTTTGTGGGCAAAAGACGCATGAACCTCTCGGACCCTCGATGTCCTTTTCTGGATCCTCGGTTCTGTCCCCCAATGCGTATTCCCCACTTCGAGAATGAAGAGAGTTCAGTTTTTACCTGCACACGGATTCGATTTGTCGATGCTTAGGGACCTCCTTTACACCTGTAGACCCTTTTTAGTAAATGAACACAATCCAGGTGGACTATCGTATACTTTTAAATCCACCTGCCCCACACACATAGAGCAGCATTGCCTCCCAGGCCATGCTCCTCAACCAGGGTCAAACTCAGCCTCTGCACAAAGACAGATTAGCCCGTGAGACACCACACACAGGAAGATGCGCCCAGGGATAGCCTTGCGGGGCACAGAGTTGGGGAGAGGAGACAGTCCTCAGGCTCACCCCAGAATCGCATCAGCTGAGGTCAGTGTTCCAGGGCCTCTTCCCCTCCGCGTCAGCCCCTGGGCTGTGGCTCGGTGATCCTACAAGGACATACATGCCAGGAGCTGCGCTGAGAGACAACCATCTCATCTGCAGAGCCATTCTCTGAGCCAGCAGTGTCTTGTCTCAGCCATTGCAGAAGGAGACTGCGAGATTCCTTTAGACTCACAATCTCATCTCCAAGCACACCCAAGCCCGCAGAAGGAATATTTCCATAGGAGCGCATGCTCCCTGCATGTCAGTCTTTTGCTGTTAGCTCATCCCTTAACAGATGAGCAACTGATTGAGCTTCACCCTCCCCAACCCCACCCCACCTCCTCTCTTTGGGGACAAGAGGGCTGTCAGGGGCTAGAAGGGAAACCCGTGTGCATAGTGACCAGGGCTATTTTTTGAAGGATGCTCAGTGGGGTGTCGCAGGTGGACTGCCAGCACCCAGGCTAATTGGCCTGGGAAGACCTAAAGCCGTAGTGTGTGAGTGGGGGTCACCCCTAGGATGCTGCTGCCTTCACCCCAATTCAGCTCTCAGCGAGTGCCCTTCATTAGAAATGGGCGCCCTCCAGGGCAGGCAGGCAGCAGGGGCGGGGGGTGGGGGAGAAGGGGGGCATGGCCAGGTGCTCCAGACATTTCAACCTGCAGGGCACCAAGGCTGGCAGAAGGGCGGGAAGGTCCCGGGTCCCAGGACCAGGAAAGAGCGGAATTCGAGTCCCAGTGTGGCCCCCAAATCTCCATTTCTTTTTTTCTTTCTTTGCCCCCCTGCTCCTGTTAAGAGTGTACAGATGTGTGTGAACATGTCTTATGAGGATAAAATGCAATGCTAGCGTAGGGGCTATTCATTCTGGACTTCCTCTCAGCAAACGGATAGCTGAGATGGGAGGGTGCCCATGCCCCTCCCCTCCAGCCGCCTTGCCCAGGGGCGTCCCGAGCTGGCCTGGGGCTGAGCCTCCTTGGTCCTGGGTGGGCTGTGCCTCCCTCGGCCCTGGCCCGGCCTTGGCCTCCTCACGCAGCTCGCTATGGGCGAGCTTGGGCAGAGAAGGGCTGAGGGTGTGGTACGCACACTGACGCACACACGCTCACGTGCTCACCTGCAGGCGTGTGCCAGGCTGTGTGTCACAGTATTGTTCTGTGGTGTTTCCTTCATCCATGAATCCTCAATCTCTCTTTACTCAGAGAAGAAGACAAAACATTCCCTCGCTTCCCGCCTGCCACCCAGATGGTAGAGCAGGGCCCGAACCACGAGGGAGGTCACCGTTGCCAGCTACGTGGCAGTGTGACCAAAAAGTAAAACAAAACAGCTTGGGGGAGGGGAAGGGGAGGGGAATGCAGAGTGTATGAATATAAAGTTAGATACTGCCGAGAAATGATGACTACTAATAAAATATTTTATATAAAGCTTTTTTTAAAATTTTTATTGTTCACTGTTAAATGCTTCAAATACAGGATGATTTGCTTGAATTTGGTCAAGTGAAACGGACCTTGAGGTTGTGTTGTGAATCCATTGGCTGCACTCTTAGGAAGAATTCGGGTTCATTACTCAGTGTTCCGGTCTGACCCCTATTGCAAAGAATCGCCCTCCTCTCTTGGAAACATGTGTGTTTTACGTTGAACTGTCTTAAAGTTTTGCGGTTTTCCCCCATCCTCCCAGGCCCATCACCCACTTTGCCACCTTGTTAATGTGGGCCATGACTTCAGAAGGTGCCAGGCCCTAAGAGCCTGGTGCATCTCGCCCCTCCACCCCCAGCCTTCCCTTCCATCCCCTTCAGCCTAGCAGTGGTCTCTGTGGACACGGTCTCCATGGGCACGGGCTCCAGGCAGAGGGACAGCCTCCTTTGTTGCTCTGGGGTCTGGGGCACCCGTCTCAGGCTGCGGCCTCTGTATGGGGCGGCTCCAGGGAGCACCCCCCAGAGACTGGCCCAGTGGAGCTGAGCTGCACCCAGAGGAGCCTGGATCTACAGCGGCAGGAGCTCCCAGGCCTGCGCTGTGGCCGGAGTTTGCAGGCAGCGGAGCTCTGGCCTCAGCGGTCACCCTGCCCTCCCTCCCTCCTAGGACAGAGAGAGAGCAGGGTCTTACGAAGTCACGGAACCCACGGCCCCTGCCGCCCTCCTGCGTGACAGGGAGAGAGAGGTGGTGAGCTCCCTATAAGGGACAAGCTGGTGATGGCAATGCCTGCGACCGAGCCCCCTGCCTCTGAAGTCCCTCCCTCGGTCCAGCGCATGTCACAGTCCCTCTGGGTCACTGCACGTGGCCTCTCACATCAGGGAGATTCCTCTGGGACAATTTTCGGGCCTCTGTGGGGCCGGGATCAGGGGAGAAGCGGGGCGCCCCCAGCTCTGGCACACGCATTTCACACTGGCAGCCTGTACTCACCCCATTGCCTTCTGGGCAGGAAGGCAGTGTGAAGAGTTTGGGGGACCTTGTAAGCCTCCTGCTGTTACCTTTCCTGATGGGAGTGCTTTGTCATATTACATGCGGCGGGGGCCCAGGTGAGCTGGGCAGAGATGCTGAAGCCTGGGGGGCAAGCATCTGAGCCGTGAGGGGTGACCGCCCCCCCCCTCTGGCCTGGAGAATGCACCATTCTCCAGTTCCCTGAAGTGTCCCTTGAAGGAGATCTCGGGAGCGGGGTGGCTCTTGCTGCCAGCACCTAAAGTGACTTATTGTCCTTGCACTTCAACTGCCCTGAGGCCTGGCCCACACCTGCCCTTCCTCCTGGCACAGCTGTGGGTCAGCACAGGGAGCTTTCCAGAAAACAGCCTTTTCTAAACGGGGCTTTGCCGGAGCGCCAGGCATACCCACCGCTGGGGGAGTTAACCAAACCCTCTCCCCTGTGCGCCCCCATGGCCCTCTCCTGCCCGGGGACAGATCAGGCCCTGCGGGGAGGCAGAAGCAGTGACCATGGGGCTGTATTGTTGTAGGGCCTTTGCAATCTTTACAGCTCCATCCGGGGCTCCCGGGGGTCCCTGTCCCACGACCTTGGGAAGCACAGACTGCCCCGGCTTAACCGGAACTGTCTCCTCTTTCAAGTCCGCAGCCCATTAAAAACGGTGGGCAAGGTCGCGCCGTTCAAATTGCTGGTCCCATCCACCACCAACCCCACAAAGGAGTTTCCATTCTCACAGTCACGATCCCCGAGGGAGGGACCCGGGGAGAGGTTTCTCAGCAGAACGTGTACGTGTGGGAAGTTAACCTGTGTCCCCGGCGGCCCTCCGCTGTCTGCTCTCCCCGTGTGGCTGGTGGGCACAGCCCCGCCGACCGTGGCTGAGTCTGTTGTGAATCGCCGTTGATGATCAGCTATTTCAAAGTTTTCCCTTTGTTTTTCCTTCCAAAGCAAGAGTCAATGCAAGTAACCTTTTTTAACCAGCGTGCAAACGTGTGCACACACCTGTCTGTGTAATATAGGATTATGGAAGCCCTGTTTTGTATAAGACTGTAAGCGTAACTTCACTTTGGTGTAGCCACATTCTCTAGGAAATAGAGTGGCTTGAGCGCTGTGAGAGGTGGGCACTGTTGTAGGTAAACTCGGCATATATACATACGTACCTACATATATGTCTATGTCTATGTCTATGTCTATATCTATATATCTTAAATAACCTGGGCTCCCTGGGCCCTTGTTCTGGCTGTGTCACTCCACTGGGACACAGGCCCGGGGAGACTCCAGATGTGAGATCTAACCCAGACCGAACGCACCACTGCTCGGCCTGATCTATTTCTGTAGGGTTACCTTCTTAGATTTGTACTTGAACTTTGTCTCCTGATAAATTAGATCCATTGATGACAATGTGACCTAGGTCAAATAAAGCATCTTTGTTTTCAGATTCCGTTTCTCGCTTGCTTGCTTTCAACCACACCAGCGCTCACACGGCAGGAGGTGGGAGCCTGCGTGAGGCCAAGCTGGAGGACTGTCTTCCCCTTCTCACGCCGCCCTCGCTCTAATGCAGCGGTTTCTTGGGCAGGTGTCATGCTGGGTCCCAGTGAAGTGGGGGAGAAAAGTAAGAGTGACATCAGTGGTACACCATCCACTCCCCCCTGCTCCCCTTCCTCCCCCCGCTTCCCGCCACCGGGGGCTAGGTGGCAGGTAGCACAGCGTCACGTGCCTTTCCATACATTATCTAATTTAACAGACATCCTTGGGGCCAGAGAGCCACCACCAGCTCCATTTCTTAGATGAGGAAACTGAGGCTCAGAGACTAGATAACTTGCAGAGTTCAGATGACGGTAGTGTAGCCCCTGACCCCTTCAGCACACTCCTCATCTTGGGAGGAGACATGGCGAGCAAAGAAGAGAGCCCATCTTGTCACACGAAGTGGCTAGAGGGGTGGAGGGAGTGGGGGAACGGCAGGGAAACTCCTTCCAGACGTGTGGTTAGCGGGTAAGATGATGGACAAACGTTCCCAGTTGTCAGCAACACCCCTCCTCCCTGTGCCTTTGAACGCTGAAGAATTCTGGAATAGAATGATGCATTTCCATGAAATTCCAACACGTCCTGAAACAATACACAGCTGCCCAGCCAACCCGGAAGGGACCGTTGCCAAGGACATGTGGAAGCAACGCCTTTCCTGACCAATTGCCCTTACATCCAGGAGGAGGCGAAAGGCAGCTATACTACTTGGCACAGGAAGTAATTAACAGCTATATTGGCCTCAGAGCACATGTGTGTGCGTGTGTGTGTGTGTGTGTGTGTGTGTGTGTGTGAGGGCTCCTGTGTATCTCCCCTTTCACCAGCAGCAAGGGGTCTTCGCTTGGGCAAATCAAGGTTCTCATTCCTGGAAGGTTCTAGAAATGTATAACATGTTCAAGTCAACGAGGAAAGTATTTGATACCGAAATGATCCCTGGGTCTTTCAGAGCCTGGCTCATTATCTGGATTCACCCTGAGCTGCTGGGGGATGAGCAGTCTAGGGGCACCCTGAGCAGGAGGCGAGCTGTTTGATGAGCAGGTAAAGGCCCCTGGGGCCATGGGCAGTCGCTGGTGGTTGAGTGCCCAGGTGCCCCAAGTCCTCCAATGATGCTATACTGCCCGCACTTCCCAGTTTGAACCTTGGCAAGGTTGTGCTCTAAAACAAACTTCTCTGTTTCCTCATTTCCAAAGTAAGAGTAAATACAAGATTACTCACTGCACTTTGAGTTTTTGTTGTTGTTGTTGTTGTTGTTTTTAAAGTTCCTGTCCTGGTTGGTGTTTCTCAGGTGTTAGAAGGTCAGCCCGTGCACTGAAGGGTCATAGGTTCAATTCCCAATCAAGGGCACGTATCTGGTTTGCAGGTTTGTTCTCCAGCCCCAATCAGGGTGCATGCTGGAGGCAACCAATTGATGTTTCTCTCTCTCTCTCTCTCTCTCTCTCTCTCTCTCTCTCTCTCTCTCTCTCTCTCTCTCCCATCACCTCCTCCTTTTCACTCTCTTTAAAAATCAATGGAAAAAATATACTTTGGTGAAGATTAACAACAACAAAAAATTTCCAGTCCACCCTGTAGCATTTCCTACCCCCAAATTTAAAAACTGGTTAGCACTCACTGGGTCCTTAAATAACCTCAACTGTCCAGAGTCAAGAATGCCTTTTACATTCCTCAGGGAAGGCCAGACACACACCCCTTGGCCCCTTCAGTGGGTCACCGAGAACTCAGGGACCACACTGGGCTCGGTGGGATTTGGTGTAAGCCAGTACTTAGAAGTTAACTATCCAAGTTCAGTGTGTCAGCATTTCAGCCTTTCATTCTAAACCTAAAAAACTATGATGGACCTTTAAGTAAGGTGGAGGGCATGTCCACCAGTTTCTTTACCCGGTGTCTACTGCTGCTTGTCATGTGAATTAGAGGGGAATGACTGGCAGGTGCTGTCACTCAGCCGTCTTCTAGGAGGGCTCCTGCCCTAGCGTATCCAGCGCGGCTGGCCACCTCGCTGCAAACCCCTGGGCCAGCTCCTGCCTGGCCCCTGTCTGCTTCCTCCTCTCGAAATGGGATGTAGGCGATGACAGGGGACACCTCTCCCCCGGTGGGCTTGTGAGGGGCATTCAAGTCTCAAGTCCCCATGGAGACTATGTCTCCCGGGCCCCATCACCCACACCAGGCCTTTGGCCTGTGTCTTGCCGACACCCTCCTGCCAAATACCCACCCCACCCCCCTTCCCCCAGGAGCACACGTACAGTCAAGCTGGGTTGACAGACTTGCGGCAAGGAACGCCGCACTTGTGGGCACCAAAGTAGGAAGATGTTAGGAAGGACTCAGTGTAGGATTTGGGCTGCGTTAGGTGGTTTGGGGGAGGTTCAAGGAAACAGGGCTTAATCAGAATCGAATGCTTTAGGGGGTGAGGGCAGCTGGGTCTTGGGTATCTTAATAACCCATCTAGAAACCAGGCTGCGGCTGAGAGGGTAGGAAGTCGCGGTTACTCCTGTCAGCCAGCAGAGGGCGCAGTGTGGGTTGGACTTCCCACCTGTGCTCCTTGGTCTGAGATGTCCCTGGACGGGCTCACTTCCAAGGCCCGAAGGTGCTAGAAAGGACGCAGGGCTTAGGACATAAAGACCTGGACCTCCTGGCGAGGCGCCTCTCAGCAGGGACTCCTGGACAGGTTCCTTCTCTGCAGGACAAGCAGAGAAATCTCTCTGAGCAGGTGTCTCTTTTCCATGGGAAGGATGGCTCAGATCAAGACCCCTCACCCTGCCGTCCGTGGACAGCACTGCTGTGTGGCACCATGCAGCATGACGAGGGTGTGGTAGAATTGTCCTGTGTTTTTAAGAGAGTCCCATTGACGGGAACAGCAGGGGATGCTCAGCCTGAGTGAGTGTGCACACCCGTCTGTGCTCGCTGAGCTGCCTTCCCTGGGGGGTGTGGGGGGGCCTGCTGTCCATGGAACTGAGTGTCCCAGGCAACAACTCTCCATCGAGGGGTTGTTAACACTTCCTGGGAACTAAATGGGATCTCCCAGCTGGCCCTGCTTCACTTATTCCGATAGCCGGGTCTATTTTCAGAAGAAAGAAAGCAAGAGGTGACCACCCGAGGGGAACCACACGTTAAACTTGACTTGCAAATAAACACAAAGAAGGGCTGCTTTGTAATATGCTTTTATCAGCTTTCTCTCCCTTGAGAAAGACATTCCTGGTATCATTTACGAAACTTAAGGTGCCCATTTGACATGTCTTAGCTCAGCCTGCAGGGGCAGGGACCTCTGAAGGTGGCTCGCCCTCCCCATCGCGTCTGCTCTGGGTCTGAGGCCTGCACAAACCGGTGCAGCCGCTTAGGGGTATTTTCTGCTCCCGCTCCCCAGGCTGGGGCAGACCCTCTGCCCCCAGAGGCTGCGACACCCCCCCCCTCCCTGGTCCCTCGTCTGTGACACACTGAGAAGAGAATGGGAGAGACGCTGCAGAAAGAAAGCACAAAACACAAAGTCTCAGGAATGGAGACCTGGCCTCATGCTGAGCGGGGATCTTTATTTTTTAAACCATCGGGCCCTGGGCATTAGCGTTCAGCTAGAGCCTGGCCAGGAGTGGGGGCTAGCAAAGCAGAGAGGAGCAGGCGGGACGACCGCGTGTGGACATTCACCTCCCATGGCGTCCAGGTCGGTGGGCGTGGCTTCAGAATGTGCATTCTGGAAGCAAAGCACAGCATACGTTACCGGGAGCGGGTCTCCTCTCCATCCCCAGCTGCCCAGCTTCTCAAGGTCAAGCCAGGCTCCAAGGTCAACGCCTTATGCTGCATTCTCTCTTTTCTTCCCCCTTACCCCCCCTCGGAGATCAGCCACATGCCCACTGGGCCCTGGGTGGGGGAGGGCAGAGGATCAATGAGAGGAGCCTCTGCGGGCCACCCTGTGCCCAGGAAGGGGTGCAGCCCCCTCCGGATTATCCTGGGACAAAGGGCAAGAGTGGCCCCTGGGGCGCTGCCTCCAGGAAGGTGTCCTCCTGAGAGGTGAGCTGGCACTTGGCTGCCAGATGGCTCACAGTGACCTCTGCTCCCAGGGTGTGTGAGGCGGGGCCGATGGAACCACCCATGTGCATGCCATCTGTCACTGACAGGGGGTTCCCGGGTGGTTATCTTGCACCCCACTGTGTCACCGAGGGAGGGGGGCAGGGAGGGGATGCACTTAGGATGGGGTGTGGAGACACCTGGGCACCTGCCTGCACGTCACCATGCAGGTGTTGGTTTGCTGATGGGCCCAGCTTTCCAAGCCCACTCACTCCATGTCCAGTCCCTCCAGGACAGAGTTTATCTTAGTTCCTCGATAGAATGCCCTGACTTTGCCACCTTTTTGAAACAATTGCTTTTGCATTCTTGCACAAACCGCTGGGCAACAGGACCGCAGGGAGCTGGTGGCTGGCGGCCCTGGCATGAAGCCTCTGGCTGAGGTCTCCGCCAGTGAGCAGCCACGGCACCGGGTACCCTGCCCAGGGCCCAGGGCAGGCGGCCTGCTGGGGACCGGGAGGCTCCGCACGTGCCCAGAAAGGACCCGGCGCCCGGGGAGCGGCTCACCTGTGGCCTGCAGAGGCTTGAAGCACCAGGGCACCTCGGGGATGCTCGAGTCGAAGCAGCAGCCCCGGTTGTTGCAGTGCTCGGGGGTGACCTCGGGGTACGCGCAGTCCACCCTGTCCTTGGGCGGGATGGCACACTGGCTCTCCACTGTCCCAGACAAAGCCCGGTCAGCGGCCAGCGCCCCGCTGGCTTGAGGTGGGTCTGCAGGCTCCGCTTGGCAAGCCTGCACCCTCTTCCCTCTCCCCTCTCCCCATCTGAGTTCAGAGGGTGTGACTCCCTCCCCAGAATTACCCTCTTTCTGTGTAAATATTCAAAGAAAAATGTCCCGCAGGGGACTGGCTGTCACCTTGTCAGGAAGTCACTGCGGGCTGTGTCCCCGCAGGCTGGCAGGGGCCCTGGAATCAGGGCCCCCTGAACCAGAAATAGGTTCCCTTTGTTTATCTACAAGAACCCCTCTCACTTAAATGAAAAGGTTGATGGGGGATATGCATTTAGTAGAGGGAGTCACAGCACACACTGAGCCTTCCGCTTCCTTCCGGCACCCACCTGTCCCCGTGTGTCCTGAGGTCTCCAAGCCTGAGGTCTCAGGTCCACCGGGCCTCAGCACCTAGCCACGTCTGCTGAGGACGCCGGATAGACAGCGCACGGAATCTGCTCTGTCCTCACCACTAGCTGCCGGTCAGGCTGCAGCTCCTGACTCCTGGGTTCCCCAACATTGGAATTGGCTGGGGACCTTGAAACACCCCTTCCCCCGCCCCCTAGACATTCAGACAGAATCGCCGCAGCCTGGGCTCCGGTGAGGCTAACAGCAACCAGTTTGGGAAGGGCTGCCTGTGGCACAGTTTGGTAGGGAACCTGATAAAAGCCACCCCCTAATTTCTTCAAGCCACACACACACACCCCACCCGGAGGTGCACTGCAAGGATCATTCTGGAAGTCACCCTGGTCATAGGTCTGTCCTTTCTGTGGGGTGCAGTGGGGCTGGGTGCTGGCTGCCAGCCTCCAGCCCCGGGTTCTGACCTTAAAGGGCAGGGTGCCTTAGTCTGTTATTAACGCCCTGAGCCTCAGTTTCCTTAGCTCACATGGGGACAGCAAGATCCAGTTTATAGAGAGAAAAGTGAATCTGCTAAACAGCAATCACCCAATGCATGTGGGGTCTGGTCACCTTCCTCAGGTTCCCCCAAACCCCCGAGCATGGGTCTTCGGTGTCCCTTCCCCTCGCCCGGGTCCCCGCTGCCGCCAGCCCCACGTGATACTCACACAGGCCCACGTACTGCGCGGACGAGCTGGAGGTCCCCAAGGCCAGGACCAGCGCCAGCAGCCAGAGCGCTCTGGCCTCCATGGTCACGGCAGGTTCTGGGGACCCGGCTGCTCAGAGCCCTCGTTTAAACCCCTGTGTTTGCACAGCCTTCAGGGCTCTGTTTGCTTGGGGATGAGCCTTCCCTGCAGCTGGTCGCACCCGCTTTTCTTGGCACCTGATTGTCCAGCCCCCGGAGGCCTGGCTCCCTGAGCAGAGAGGGTGGGGCGCCCCCACGGGGGTGCCTAGGGCTGACGTTACTCCCTGAGGGAGCAGGGCTGTGCCTCCCCAGGGCAGCCTGGCCAGGAGGAGAGAAGATGGGGCTGACCATCGGTACCAAGAGCCCATCCTGGCAGAGTCCGGAAGGCTCCCTCTGCAATGACAACAGTCCCCAGGCCACTTAGTCCCCCCAGGTCAGCCCTGGGTCGTGCGAGGACAGGCAGCAAGCCCCACTCAGGTAATTCGTGTCTGTGACTTTATTTCTCTCTCCCGGCTCCTGCAAGGTGCAAATTCCTTTCCTTCCTTTTTGGCATTTTTTTCCAGCAAAGAAATACGTTTATTATTAATTACATTTAAATAAATGTATTAAGTAAAGTTATTCGGTACATTTTTGTTGTTGTTAATCCTCACCCAAGGATTTTTTTCCCCCTGTTGATTTTTAGAAAGAGTGGAAGGGAGGAGGAGACACAGAGAGAGAAACATCGATGTGAGAGAAAGACATGTGCTCTGATTTAACCTGCAATCAAGGTAACATGCTCTTGACCGGAATCAAACCCAGGACCTGTCAGTCCTCGGGCGGAGGCTCTATCCATTGAGCCAAACTGGCTAGGACTATCTATAATAATAAAAGGGTAATATGCTAATTATGCTGGATGTCATTCCGGACGACCTTCCAGACAAAGCCGGGGCTACAGGGAAGCCCAGTCCCAGGTGCCAGGGGGAAGCAGGTGCCGGCAGCTGGGGGAAGGAAGGCCTACTCTTGCACAGATTCCATGCATCAGGCCTCTAGTTCAATATATTTTAATAAAAATGTAATATATGCAGTTGGTTTTTAAAACCAGAAAGTGCAAAAGTCCCCTCCTGTTTAGCAGTGTTCGTGTTTAATACTTTCTTAGATGTTTTTCCAGAAATGTTCTCTCTAGATCTAAGCACACTTTAATATATATGTGTATATATATATATATATATATATATATATATATATATATAATTTTTTTTTATTTTACAGAGAGGAAGGGAGAAGAATAGTTAGAAACATTGATGAGAGAGAAACATCAATCAACTGCCTCCTGCACACTCCCCACTGGGGATGTGCCTGCAACCAAGGTACATGCCTTTGACCAGAATCTAACCTGGGACTCTTGAGTCCGCAGGCTGACGCTCTATCCACTGAGCCACACCTGTTAGGACATAAGCACACTTTTAACCCAAATGGGAGCTCGCTAGATGTGTTTGCCCAGCTTGCATTTTCTTTCAATGAAGGCTATATCTGGGTAAGTGTTTTGTAACAGCACGTCTAAATGAACTGGGACTATTTCTACCCATTTTCCAGAAGAGCAAAGTAAGACTCAAAAATGAAGGTGGCCGTCCCAGGTGCCTCTAGTAAACCTGGTGGTGTTGAGATTCAAACCACCTCCGTGACTTGTGACTCCCCAGCCCCAGCCTCTCGCACTTAGTGAGCCCAGATGAATGGATTTGGGGCGACAGTCCTTCATCAGGGAGCAGAGTTGTCCCCTCCACGCTCAGGCGGGAGACAGGAGGAGCAGCCTCTGCGCTGTTTTGGTGCGCTCGCTTAGGGCCCAGAGGGAGCGTGACGCCAGCAGACACAGGGTTTCACACCGTGGAGAACATCTTTCCGAAAGATTCCTGGGAGCCTTTCCAGGCCAGATCTCTACCTATCCACTGCCAGGACCCAGGCCAGGCCAAGCGGTGGAGCTGAAAGCACAATCACCCCGAATCACACTTAGAAGGGATGGTTGTGGGGAGGCAGGCCTGGCCAGGAGGTCTCCACCTGCCTGGCCTCCACGGGCCCTGGTCCGCACCAGTGCTTTGTTTTTAATTAAAAATTTTTTTTTCAATTATAGTTGACATTCAATATTATTTTGTCTTAGTTTCAGCTGCACAGCATATTGGTTAGAAAGTCATTTACTTTACAAAGTGGGCCTCCTGGTACTTCCAGCACCCACTTGGCACCACACAGTTAATATCATATTATTGACTGTATTCCCTATACTTTACATCCCTATGGCTATTCTGTACTTTACATCCCTATGGCTATTCTGTAACCACCAATCTGTGCTTCTCAACCCTTTCTCCTTTTTCACCCATCCCCCACCACACCCTCTTCTCCGGCAACCACCAGTCTGTTCTCTGCATCTATGAACCTGTTTCTGTTTTGTTTGTTTGTTTATATTGTTCTTTAGATTCCATGTCTATGAGAAATCATATGGTAGTTGTCTTTCTCTGAGTGACTTCTTTCACTTAGCATAATACCCTGTAGGCCCATCCGTGCTGTCACAAAAGGTAACATTTCATTTTTAAAAAAATATATATATTTTATTGATTCCTTACAGAGAGGAAGAGAGAGGAATAGAGAGTTAGAAATATCGATGAGAGAGAATCATCGGTCAGCTGCCTCTTGCATACCTCCCACTGGGGATGTGCCTGCAACCAAGGCACTTGCCCCTGACTGGAATTGAACCTGGGACCCTTCAGTCCGCAGGCCGACGCTCTATCCACTAAGCCAAACCGGTTGTGGCTCATTTCATTTCATTCTTTTTCATGGCTAAGTCATATTCTACTGCATCACAGCTTTTTATTTATTTTATTTTTATTTTTAAAATATATTTTATTGATTTTCCACAGAGAGAAAGGAAGAGGGATAGAGAGCTAGAAATGTCAGTGAGAGAGAAACATCGACCAGCTGCCTCTTGCACACCCCCTGCCGGGGATGTGCTCGCAACCAATGTACATGCCCTTGACCGGAATCGAACCTGGGACCCTTCAGTCTGCAGACTGACCCTCTATCCACTGAGCCAAACCGGTTTGGGCAGCATCACAGCTTTTAAAAAAATATTACATTTTTATTGATTTAAGACAGGAAGGGAGAGGGAGAGAGAGAAATAGAAAAGTCAATGATGAGAGAGAATCATTGATTGGCTGCCTCCTGCATGTCCCCCACTGCGATTAAGCCCAAAACCCCAGCATGCTCCCTGACAGGGACTCGAACCGTGATCTCCTAGTTTCATAGGTTGACGCTCAACCACTAAGCCACACCGGCCAGGCAGTATCGCAGTCTTTTTATCCACTCATCTGTTGGGCACTCGTTTCCATAGCATCCACCCGTGCTCTTCTAACCACCTGGAGGCTGGAACAGTGTAGACACTCCACCCTGCCCCACTCCAGGCAGATAATTCCGAGGTTATTGAATTCCCTGGGCAGCCAACGCCCAGAGCCACCATCCGTGTCTGCTGCAGTTTAACTCAGTTACTCTCCACTGAGCCAGGGCTGGGGGCTGGGGAAGGAATACGAAAGGTGACAAATCCCTGTTCTTAAAGAGTCCCCTTCGTTAAAGACCTGGTCGTGCATAGATGGGGAAGCAGAGAGAACTGGTCCCAGCCTGGGCTCTGTGACCTTGGGGCCCTCATTTTACTGCTTGTGCCTCAGTTTCCTCACCTGTCACATAGTGCCTAGCCCCCAAGGCTGTGTGAGATGGTGACACAGAGCAGAGCTGGGCCCCGGACACACACAGACCACCTGTCAGGTGTGGCTACAGTGGCAGAGGGTCCAGCCCTTCTGGAGTCCCCGGTGGGATAGAAGTGGCGGCTACAGAGCTGGATTCCCACGGGGTGTTGCCAGCACAGGCTCCTGAGGGTGCAGAGAGCCTGGGCTGGGCCTTGGAGACAAAAGGATTGTGTGAATGTTTGTGGGGATTCCATCTATCCCCTTCCTTCTGTCCCAGGGAGCCCTCAGCCCAGGAACCAGTGCTCTCCGCCAGGCACAGGAGAGGCCCGTAAGCCCGCCTGCCGCCAGAGCTCTCAGTCCCATGGCCCTCCCTGTTCCTCGGGGGACTCACGTCCGAGGGATGGAGAAAACCGTGTCAGGGCACTGCTCCTTGGCCCGGCCCTGACAGGTGGCTGCTGCAGGCACCCTGAGACCGAGGGCGAGCCTGGGTCTGGACTGTCCTGGGAGCCCTTCCCTGAAGCCCCTCCCACCCTGGGCTTGGTGTGCAGGCGTCAGGGAAGGCGAGGGTCCAAGAAGCAGGTGAAATGGCCCCGGGGGCTGGGCTGCCTTCCATCCGCGGGATGCATGGCCAGGGGCAGACCTATGTGACCAGCACTGACTAAGTGTGGGCCACAGCCCTGGCGCTTGGCCTGCACATGCTGAGCCCTGGGGACAGCAGGCATGGTCCCTGACCTCAGAGACCACGGCTCCGGAGGGAGAACAAGGCTTAGTGTGTACATTGCAGTGCCATGTGATCAGAGCAGGCACAATGCTGCTCAGCAGGCTTCTCATCTGGGGAGAGATCTCCACTGGGTCTTGAAAGATGAACAGGAACTCGCAGATGGGTGAGGTCAGAAGGGCGTTCCAGGCAGACACTGGGTCACCACCTCTCACCAAACACGGAGTCCACTGTGTCCTACACGGGGCTACATGTTCTCTGTCACCTCTCGGCTTCTGACAGTGTCACTCAAGGCTCCCAGAGCCAGCAGGGAGCCAGGTGGAGGAAGAAAGTACAAAGTCATGCTCATCGACATCTCTGGGTGGGCCCTGGTGCCACACACCTCCCAGGAGCCTCCTGCTGACCAGCTGCCACATCGCTCTGCAGCTGTCTTGGGTGTGGCCCCGCCCACTGTGTCTGCAGTTCCTCCTGCCAGACCCGTCTGCAGGTAGCAGCCATGGTGACAGATGCAGGAGGCCTCTGTCTTTGGGCATGGTTTCCACTGAGTGCACATGGGGGAGGGTGTTAGGACTTGCAAATGTGTCACCCACCAACTGCGCAGGGGGCAGGGGAGAGAGCAGGGTCCCAGTGAGTCCAGACAGAG